TGAGCTACATTATTTTGGAAGAATATATTTTGGAATAGTAGATTGATGGAGAATGTATAGTTGAAAAAGAAGGAAAAATTATTGATGTGATGAAAAATATTATTTTATTGAAAAATATGTGGTTAAAAATAATTAAAAGAATGAAAATGAAAATTTTGGGGCTAAAAAATCATTGCTAGGTGTAATTTCCACATCCAACTGAATAACTCAAGTCAAACCGAACCAATATGATGATAATTTCAGTTGGCTCAATTTAAGGGCCCAAATCGATTTTTTTCGAGTTGGTATGGAAATTACATGGAGGCAAACTTTTAAAAATTGTATTTCAGAAAATGAAGATTACAGTTTATATATACAAAAATCAGATTATAATACAATTTTTTTTATATAAAATTCAATTAATTATATACCCATTCGCAAACCCCAATATTCATTTTCTTGCTCCTTCTCGATCCATTCTCTCTCTACTCTATCTCTCATTCTCTCTACCTTACCGTCGTCGCCCGCGAAGATGCTGGAGAAAAGGGAGCAACGCTGCGCAAGGCCACGCGCAACCGTCGGTGAGGCTTCTCTCTATTTGCTGCAGATATGGCCCGTCGTTACCACAAACTCCGATCACCGTCTCTCTATTTGCTATAGATCTGATGGCTTTGGGTTAGGGATATTATGGTTTATTGGGCGGCGTGATTGGCGGTGTGAAGGAAGCCGTTTGTTGTTTGTAGTCGTAATCGCAACAAGAAGGCTTCGAGCTTGGTGGAAGTGTAAGTTGGATGGATCAGCTTGGAAGAACACGACTTCAGGATTGTCAAGATAGGTGGTGAATATTTTGTGGTTTGAGTAGAAGTGTTGGTGGAGGCTAATGAAGTGGCAAGAGATTTTGGAGCTTTTCAACGGTGGCTGTAAGTGATGTAGCAAGAGATTTCTATGTGGTGTTTTTAGTGCAGTGGTGGGGGCGATTGTTAAGGATATATATCCCATATCGATAAATGATGTTGCTACAGACCAATTAATAAAGATTTTGGGCTACTCCTCTTAATAAGGTTGACCTTTTAAGATGGAACCTCAATTCTTA